TATTAGGTTGGAGGCCATCACTATTAGGTTGGAGGCCATCGCAATTAGGTTGGAGGCCATCGCTATTAGGTCGGAGGCCATCACTATTAGGTTGGAGGCCATCGCTATTAGGCTGGAGGCCATCGCTATAGTTTGGAGGCCATCACTCACTATTAGGTTGGAGGCCATCGCTATTAGGTTGGAGGCCATCGCTATTAGGTTGGAGGCCATCGTTATTAGGTTGGAGGCCATCGCTATTAGGTTGGAGGCCATCGCTGTAGTTTGGAGGCCATCACTATTAGGTTGGAGGCCATCGCTATTAGGTTGGAGGCCATCACTATTAGGTTGGAGGCCATTGCTATCAGGTTGGAGGCCATCGCAATTATATAGAAACAAAGAAACCAGAAAGGTAGCTAAGCGCTTCGCACTTCGCATCGTTTCGCATCAAACTCGTGCGAAGGAGTTTTCGCTTCTCGGAGTTGTGATGGGCAACACTCGCGGCTCGTTGGAGCTGGTGCCCCTGTCGGTGTTTAACCTGTTTCTATATGGTTGAATTTGGCACAATTGGTACTCTGCCTGGCTGTGCCTGTGACTGCCTTATTATGTTTCTTTGCATTTCTTTGTTGGAGTTTCTGTTCCTTCTTTGTATTCACTCATTCAAGTCATTACCAGTTAGATCATTCATATCAGGTGTCAAGGATTGTTGGAGCATTTTTCCTCGGAAGGAAGGCAGTGCAAAAATGGTCGGTGAGTTGATGGCATGTCCACTGGTATTTCAAAGGATGAATCATCGAGACGTGACGCATTGCACAGCCATTGCAAGGTAGAGCTTCCTGTTGATCATGAAGACCCAGAGGCACAGGGCCTTTTCTAGATGTGGACACATCGGACATTCTACAGCAAGATTGAGCTAAAACCGGAAGGGCTGCCGTGTTGCCGTGTCGCATCATAATCTGAACTTTGCTGATAGAGCTGCAATGCTTTGCATGCGACCCCTCAGGTGTCGTTCTCACATGCATCCCATGGTGGTGCTGTCTTGCAGGCAGAGTTTGGAAAGATCATGAAAGATCGAATGTTGCTAATTTGTCCATTGTATAGAAGGTATAGACTGCTTGCAATAGCTCACAAAACATGGCAACATAACATTTACCATGGAAGCATGATCTTCCGGTAGCTCACAAGTGCTCGCTTGGCAACTTGATTCTTCTGGCCAGGTGGACTTCCTCCTTCCAGCAGAGATTTTTGTATCGGTAGGCAAAGATTTGCGCCAAGAAGCTGATGCTCATTCTTTGAAGCCAAGATTCTTTGCACTGTTGCATACTGTTGCTTTTGCCCAAGAGGCGAAGATGACACTCTTCGCTTTTGGTCTTCCAGCTTGTATTTGCTGCGGGAGGCAAGCACAATTTTTGAGAGTTCTTTGTTATCAGTCATAACATCTCATAACCATTATTCTAGACGTACAGACAAGGGCCGCACATCGACAATGTGAGATTCTGGCAGGTGTTCTTTCCTCAAGCATGTACTTCAGTGGCCTTTATGAAGTTGTCAGCACCTCAACTTGAGAAAGAACACATTAACCAAAGTTGCATGTTGTTGTGTGTTCTTGGTTCAAGTAATTACTACCATGCCGTCACCGTCTCTCAATTGTTTGAAAGCTGAGGCCAGACATGGACATTTCTCAGGGTCATGGAGATGTGCTCGTGGGCTTCGCCGCACATGTGGAGCAGGCCCTGAGTTTTCTCTGAGAGCAGTGCAAGTCTCCATAGAACACACCGCATAACTGCATGTTGGCTTTTGTCGACTCGATGTGTGCCAGATGCCTTTGGACGTCTGGGCACGGGGAGTCAAGCATGAGAGCCTTGGAGGTGCGAAATTGGTGTCGAGATCCAACGATGATTCCAAAATGGTCACACCTTTATGGATGTAATATATATATATGTGTGTGTGTGTGTGTCATGTCATTTTATTTATATATATATATATCAATATGAGCCAACACATATCAATCTATGTCAATTATTGTTACTGTTACATGCACGATTAAGTACGGAGAGTAATCAGTCAGAGACGCAGGCTCTACTCTAGAAAGTACCATGAGAAGCTCTCAAGGCCGGTTTGCTCACAAAGTAGTTTCAAGAGTTGGCATTTGAATGGTAAGCCCAGCATGATGCAGTAAATGTATCTAACTTTGTTGTTTGCTTGCAGGTACTTCCAAGTCTTCAAAGGGCACGCATTTTTCCAAAAGTGCGCAGGACACAAACCCTTTCGTTCTTGTTCTCACAGTTGAAATCCACAGCTTGAGAAGACCTGCGATCAGAGATGCTGTGCTTGAGACTTGTTGTAGCAGTTCCAGAATCATTGAACCGTTCTTTGTGACTGGGGTGTCTTCTGACAGCTTTGATAGTTGGTGCCAGAACGTTCGACACTTGCGAGGAGGATGATTCTGCGATTCTAGAAGAGCTGGCTTTGGCGTGCTGTACTCAGTTTTTCAAAGCATGAGAACTCTCAAAACATCTATTACAAACCATTGAAAAACTAATGCTGAGGTGGGAACCACCGGGGCCGGAGGCTGCAACCATCAAAGTTGAGGTGCAGCGGACTGCCGTAGGAAAGCACTTAGCAGCATTATGGTTGAGCTGAGCTGTTATATTGTGCTCTACGAGAGTTTACAGCACAGTTGTGGGAAGGTGAAGAGGTGGAAAAATAATTGCTTAGAGGCTTAGAGAAGTGCATGTACGGTTGTTTTGCACCAGGATGTCATTGTGCAGACGGAAAGTGAAGAAGCTTCTGTGCCCTGCGAAGTGGTCGTCGAAAAAGTGAGGACATTAGTTCACGAGATTCAATGCGTGCTTTCAACATCCCCGAGCAAAGGCCAAAGGTGAACCGGGTTATGCAGTGAACGCGAATTCAAAACCAGGTCAGGTTGACAACCTGGTGTTTGTTTAGTTCACCCTTGACATTGTTGTTGTAAGTTCATGACATCATCACACACACACACACACAAACGACAGACTTCATCAGCAGAGTTGTTCTAGGGGGAACAGGAGCATATAGAAAATTGAACACGGTCTTCAAGCGATTCCCTTTCTGTTAAGCTGTGGAAGTCACGGGAACGGTCGGAACTCTAGACAAGCTGAAAATCATCCTCACATTGAATCTCCTGCCGTGAATGGAGGTTGGCATAGGTTAGCTTGTGGAAAGACCAAACGCTGTGAGGACCGGTGCTGTCATGGACTTCCGTGGGCCACCAGTTGTCCCGCTGGGTGTGCTTTGCAACAACGCTGCTGACATGATGGGTGTTCAGGCAACCCTCAACTTGGAGAAGCTCACGATGTGCAGATCATGTTGTAAAATCATGTAAGAATGTAAGATCTATAATATACAGTAGCAATACGTTGCGGCGCCGCTTTTGGATTATATTAATATGAATTATATAATCCAATTGGTTTTGCTTGACACTTGACACATTTTGATGCCATCAAGCACTGCCACATGCTACCTGTTATGGATTTGGTATGATTTGATCATGGGAAAGCAAGGGTGTTTGAAGTGACAGTTATGTGAAAGTCAAGGATGCCATTCTTTTGTTCAGGAGCGTTTGGAGAGGCGCATGAAGGAGATGCCGTTCGGGCATGAGCGGAGCAAAGAAATCGAAGAAGGACTGGAGAAGTTGCACCAAGTTACTAGGAGCAAGGACGCTACTAGTAACAAAGGTCATCGCAACAAGGAGCAAAGGGCACCTGGTATTACTACTAGTAACAAGAAGCTTGCATCCTTTTTGCCAAAGTGAGGAGACTTCGAGTCTATCACGCGCTACTACCAAGGCTGAAAGTGACAAAACCTTTCAAAACACGACCAATGGCACAGAAATAACTGGACTGAAGCAAGCAAAATTGAATGCTGTGTGGTTAGGATCCTTTGCTGGTAGCTGCTTGATATGTTCATTGTGTTCATTTCTTTAGTGGTGCAGCTGTGGTGTTTGCTGTTGAACGACGTCTCACGTGAGGCTACAACGACTGGACAGTGCTTCCCAGCGGCCTCCTCGATGCGCCCCGGAGTTATTCGATCCGTGGGGTCACTGGACCGGATGAAGTGGCCATCGTCACTTCTGTGGGTCTCAACCTGCATCAAAGTGCGACGCCCAGAGAGTTCCAGCGATCAAACAGTATATGCTTTGTTTGTCCTGTTGGATGCTGTTCACCTAGATTAGCAGTAGTATGCAACAGTAAGCCAACGACAGTGTGCAAGTAATATACTTAAGGGATCTAAGGGCTGACCCCCTCGATTGGCAAGCAAACATAAGGCGGCCTTATTTCGCAGGAGCAAGTCCTATGGAGGGAAGTGAACCCAGGGCCCAGAAATTGCAAAATAGAAAGCATCCGTGGGTCAATGAGAAAGAGGACCCAAGGCCAAAGCGAACTGACAAAAAAGCCTGCAAAGCAAAAGGCCAAGCCGACCCAATAGAAAGTCAGCCCTGGCCAATTCATTCCACACTCACCAGATAGCCTGCAGCCTTTGCCACTGGCGCCACGCCTTCCAGCTGGTGTCACAAACTAGCTTGGCCTTATCATGTCAGAATGGTCTTATGATATCTTCTGGAATCTTCTGTAAGTACTGTAATTAATTCAATTTTGTTTTGCCCTCAACGCACCTAAACTGCGCAATGTCAAAAAGCTCAGCACCAGCCTCACACCCCCAATCAGCAAGTTCCACACCTAACTTCCAACCTGGCGTTGTTTGATTTGCTCATGTGGCTTAGGTGCTTGATGTCACCAGTTGTTCTTAAACGCAGGCCACCTGCGCGCCGGCAAGAACACCTTCCAGCAGCCAGCCGGGGTTCAGGCTTTCCAGAACTTGACCCAGTCGACTTTGTATTGTCTTGGTAGTTGACCTTGCCTTGTTTTGCTTGTTGAGGAGGAGGAAGAGGAGATTCCAGAGCAGGTTGAGATAGAGGAGGCTTGGATCAGACGGATCAGAGACCTGTTGTTGCATCATGTTGCAAGGGAAAGGCCAACAGTTTAACTTGGGTGCGTGGACTTGCATTTTCTTGTATCCAACATGATTCAGTGACAACAGCCCAGCTCTCTTTCGGTTTGCTCTCCTTTTCCCAGGCCAATATTGAGGAAGCTGAGGCATTGGAGGAATCGCAGGCTTTGCAGAGCCTGGCACACAGGATGAGCATTTGGTACAAAGGGGAAGAGGCTTCGGCCTAGGCCAGAGTGAGCCAGCCTTGAGATTGAGGAAAGAGAAATATTACTAAAGCGTTCAAAAACTGAAGGCAGTTGACTGTACCGTCTTACCAAGGCATGGAGGTGAACCAAACCGACCAAACACCTCCCAGGAGATCCGGAGCTTCTACGAGTGTCAATTTCGTTGGCCAATTGATCTCATTGACGGAGTTGCACAGATGGACGCTTTGAAATCATCTTGACTATATGTATATAATACAACAGAGAGAGAGAGAGACACATGTATGATCATTTTTGTATCACATACTTTGAGATCCTTGTGCCCGCGCATGGCTGAACAGAAAGCAGAGCCCGTATCGCCAATGCAGGGCTTATGCATTGCAATGCATTCCTTTGAACCAAAGTGGAAAGTTCTGAGATTGAATATGGAAAAAAATAGCGCCTCATTTATCTCGAAGCAATCAGAGCTTGATGAGTTTCGGTAGTTCTGACCCAGTTGCGCCGTGGTTTGAAGTTGAAGTTTGGAAGCCAGGACCGCCAGTCCACCCTCACGGCGGGTGACACCGCTTCTTCCTGAGAGGCCTGTCTCCCAACATTCGCCGCAAAACTCCGCAAGGCTTGGAACGCACCGTGCTGCGCTGTCAAAAGACATGCAATTGTGGGGGATGATTTTAGCATGTCCTTCTCAGGAGGCCAAGCAGCTGCGAAGGCTTCCAATCTCAAGGTGACAAGTTGGAAGTGCTGCTACTGTAAGCACTTGTCAGCCAAAGCTGTGTTGTGACTCTTTAGCAAAGCGCCTCGAAACAAATCGAAGCCTTGTATAGGCTTTGAAAGCGAGAATCTGGAGCTGATCGAGGAGGCTCAATTTGGGCAGCACATCGCCTCAAGTTGCACACCAAAGAATGAATGCGAATGTAGAGGTAGGTATTAGGTACGTACCATTGTGTAATTAGCACCCATAGTTGCAAAATAATGCAAAATACAGATATTGACAGAATGCACTTCATGACCGTACAGTCACTTAAGCACGTAGGCAATGCTATGTACGATGGCCATTTAAGGCCCAAGCCGCATTAGCGAAAAGGTCTGCGCACGCGCTTTTCATGGTAGCGGAGCCCTGGCCGTAAAGAGCCGGGGCTCCGCCACCCACGGTCACTACGAGCACCACGAAGAGCCTTTGCTCCACGTCACCCTCTACAAGGAGGAAGAGGACGAGAGCCCATCGGTGGCAGCCATTTGGATCCTCGAGCTTCTGCTACTGGCAGGTTTGGCTGGAGGAGTCGGGTCATCGACTGCACAGGAGGTTCAATACTGCCAGGCAAGCTCGGTCCTGCCTGTGGCCTGCAAGGCTCGTGTGAGGAGGGTCCACACCTTGGTGGTGGAGACGGAAGAGCACCTGAGCAAGATCAAGTGGATCAAGAGCGAGAAGATCGTGAGAGCATCCATCGTGGTGGCAAGAAGAGAAGACCAGTCGGAGTTGAAGGAAGTGGTCATTGTAGTGCCAGCCAAGTGGAAGTTCGTGGAGCGGATCGAGGCTCTGAGGGACGACACAGGTGAAGACGAGTTGAGCGAGCTAGTTTACAACTGGCGGTTCTGGGACATCCCTGGCTACGCGGGATTGCCATTTGGGTCACCTGCACCCCTTGCACCAGTGGAGACGAAGACATTCATCCCCAAGGTCTACGGGTGGAAATCGATGGCTGAGGAGAGTTTGAGGCAGGTTGCAACAGCGCTGGAGAGGTTGGCGCTGAACCAGTCAGTGCAAGGCTGGGCACGGCATTTGAAGCCGCCAGATGTCTTCAAGCCCGAAGGAAGAGATGCGGAGTTGAAGATGTGGGGGGACTGGAAGTTTGGTTTCCTCAACTATGTGAAGGGGCTGGATCCTTCGATGGCGGCCAGCATGGACATGGTAGAGGCCAACGTGGACGGCAACTACAACTATGAGGACATGACCGATGAGACGAAGGCAAAGGCCGTGAGGCTTTACAGCCTTTTGACTTCGTAGGTGAGGCAGAGGCCACCGAAGCTGATCCGCCACGTCAAAAGTGAAAATGGGTTTGAAGCCTGGCAGAGCTTGTTGAAGGAGATGCAGCCGGCTACGAGAGCCAGGGCCCTAGCTCTCTTAAGCCAGCTGTCTCGCATCCAGTTTGCAGAGGGCAAGACATTGTCCGAACAGCTCCCGCAGTTCGAAGCTCTGGTCTTGGAGTATGAGCGCATCTCAACCCAGAAGTACTCCGATGATGCCAAGGTGGCATCCATCTTGTTGGCATGCCCTTTGCAGATCCGCCAACACCTACACCTTTGGCTCACAGACACCACCACCTACGAGCAACTCAAGGACAGGATCATCCAGCTCGAGGCGGTGACGACGAAGTGGGATTCGACGAATTCCTTGATGCCTCCCACTAGGACCACCGGTGATGAGGCAACCCCAATGGTAGTGGACTACATTGGGAAGGTTGGCAAAGGCAAGAAAGGCCAGAAGGGAAAAGGAAAGGAAGCTAAAGGGAAGGACAAAGGAAAGGAAAAAGGGAAGTTTGGCGGAAAAGATGGCAAGGGTGCTTGGAAAGGAGCAGAGAAAGGGAAGAGCTTCTGGGACAGGAGTTGGGCGAAGAAAGGAAAGCCATCAGAGAAAGGAGGAAAAGGCACTAAGAGTGGTGCCTGCCATCTCTGTGGCAAAGTTGGACACTTTGCCAAAGAGTGCTGGAAGAGAGTCAACCAGGTAGAGGAGCAACAGAACCCAGGAGGAGCGAGTTCATCATCTACGGGAAATGCAGGGAGCACCACTGCAACAGCCTCAGTGAAGATGGTTAGATTGGAAACACCACCTGATGCTTCGTCACTCGAGATCTTTGACCTCACTACACCAAGGGGCAATCAGAGTGATAGCTTTCCCTGGAGAGTGGGGATGGTGGAAGTGGAGCAGTGCGAGGTGGAAGAGTTCTACGAGGCTGAGGAGTTCGAGTACCATGAATGCTATGAGCCTGCGGTGGAGGTGCCAGGAGACGTGGCTATTGTGGCCATGGACCTGCAGGACAACGAAGAGAAAGAGATGAGTGTGAACATGGTGAGAAGGCAAGATCGCGTTGAGGATCGAAGTTGCTTGATCACCCTGGACAGTGGGGTAGACATTTCAGTCTTGCCAAAAGACTATGTTGGAGTTGGAGAGCAGCTTGAAGGAGATGGGAGCTTGAGGATGGTGGATGCGCAAGGGAAGAAGATCCCGTACAGTGGAATGGCGAGAGCAAAGATCAGGATGAAAGACAGAACAGGCAAGGTCGTTGAGATCTATGAGGACTTTGTTCTTGGCAGCGTGCAACACCCTATCCTATGCGCAGGAAAGCTGTTGAAACGAGGATGGTCATTGGGTGAAGTTCAAGGAGCGCTACATCTTCGACATGAGGCACGCTCGGTGGATATCCCTCTAAACACTGAGCGGAACTCCCTGCAGCGCGAGGCAAGGATCTTTGCAGTTCAAGCGGGTGAAAGTCAAGAACAGAAGAAGTTGCAGGAGGATGGAGATGCTGCAAGGGTCCAAGTTCTGCAAGGCTACCTGAGCAAGTATGTCAAGGAGCTTGAGATGACTCCAGGTTGGCATCGATTGCCGAACGGAGTGGCAGTGTATAGCGATCCAGTGGCAACTCAATTGGCCTATGGGAGCAGCTTGAAAAGACAGAAGATTTCAACCTGCTGGGACCGTCGGCATTCAGGAGGATCAGTTTGACAACGGAGCCCCAACGGACTTTGAGCTTCTTTTCGCCGGAACAATTCGAGGACTACTGGGAAGCTGGCAGTGAAGTTCCGGTGGCACCATACCCTTTGTTTGACAGAAGGAGCCTTTGGACATTTGGAGTGGTCAGAAGAAGAAGGTGAAGAGCTTGAAGAGTTGGAGGCCCAGGAGATGCAACACGACATCGAGAAAGCGGTGGTGGCAGAACGCCAACATGAGGTGGAGCTAGATGAGGTCACGTTCTCAGAAAGAATGACAGTGAAGGAGCTCCAAATGGCTTGCAAGGAAAAGAAGCTGCTGGAGAGGCTAGTGGCTTTCAAGGTGAACCTCGAGACCCAGATGCACCTGGCGGTAGCTCACAAGCTCTACAACGAACAAAGGAGGAGACGGGTGACACTTGGTCAACCAAAGCTACCAAGCTTGGCAGAGCAGGAGCTGCGTAATGTGACGCATTGGCCATTTGCATCATGGTGCCAAGCATGTGTAGCAAGTCGCTCAAAGGAGGACAAACATGGGAAGTCAGACAACAAAGAGGACATTGGAAAGAACATCATCCAGATTGACTTCTGCTACACGTACACTGGCGAAGAAGATCGCTCAGAGAAGCCAGTGCAGGACAAGGTCATGGAAAGGCAAGACCAGCTTGGGACGGCGCTCGTGTGACCAGTTCAGAAACGAAGGCAATCCACGCAGCGCCGGTGCCAAGCAAAGGAAGTGCAAGCCTGAAGACCATCACCGAGGAGATTGTCAGATTTGCCTTGGAGAACTCTGCTCGCGATGCATGCATCATACAAGCTGATAGGGAACGAGCAACCAGGCAAATCCTCAGATCCGCGCAACAGGTCAGAAATGTGTTGGGCATGAAGACAGAGATCCGACTGACCGGAGCCGGACAACATGCATCCAACGGCCAAGTGGAGTGGGCTGTTCAGACGATCAGGAAGATGGCAAATTGCTTGCGCTGGTTTGCCGAGGACAAGGCCAGAATCAACATTGAAGGAGATTTTGAAATCTATCCATGGTCGTTCAAGCATGCCTCCTTCCTGATCAACCGGTTCCGAGTCCTAGAAGGCACCAACAGGACAAGCTTCGAGTTGGCAACTGGGCATCCTTACAGAGGAAAGCTGGCATTGTTTGGTGAGAGCGTGCTTTTCAAGAGGCCAGTCAGGAACAAAGGCAGCGCAGTCTTCGAGAAAGGCATATGGGTGACAAAGCACCCATGGAATGACAACCATGTGCTCCTGTCAACATCAGGAGCCTATGAGTCAAGGACAATCAGAAGACTGTCGCCTGCAGATAGCTTCAACGGCCCGGAGATCTTCACAGCGAAGGGGCTACCTTGGTGCTATTCTGCACAAGGGATTCTGATGAAGCACGCCGGCAAAGCACAGAGATACCGTCAGCCCACACTCGAGATGGAGGTGAATGAAGAAGAGATGACAGCCATTGCACTAGATGTGGCAACAGGTGTTGTCACTCCAGCCCCAGGATGCCAACCGATGACACCAGGTATCACCCTCACTGTGGCTGGACCAGGAGCAAGTGAAGCACCACGGACACCAACAAAGGCTGCAGTGAAGAGACAGTTGACTGAGGAGGAGAAGAGTGAAGGAGAACGAGAGAATAAGAAGGTGGATGCAACTGACTCACCGAGGAAGCAAGCAGAGAAGAGGCAGTCGGGAGAAACAGCAGAGAGTGAGGAGAAGAGAAGCCGACCGGAAGGAGGATCTCTGGAAGAAGGAGACAGGATGATGACTGAGCCAGAAGGATCTCCGAGAATGTCGCCGTCCCACAACAGAGAACACCTGTATCCGCCGCACTATGCAGGAGTCGGGGCAATCGGAGTGGAACCACATGGAGATGAAGATGTGGATATGGAGCTGATGCCAGAAGATGTGATCGAAGAACAGATGATGGCATATGGAGGAGACGAAGGAGATGATCCCCCAGAGGTCAGTGAAGACGATTTGGAGAGGCTTGACAGAGACGCTCGGAACCTCGAGATCCAGAGGATGCTGGACGTGCCTGCAATGATGGAAGCACAGAAGGCTGAAGTTGAGCAGGAGAATGGCTACATCATCAGTACAAAGATGGTAATGCGCTGGAAACACCGTTTGGAGAAGGGTGGATGGTTCCGCCGAGCACGACTTGTAGCCAGACAGTTCAAGAACAGCATAGATCTGGAGGCTACTTTCGCTCCCACATCGATGATGATGCTGCCGAAGATGTTGATGCACTACCTGCTGAATGTGAGGAGCGACTTTGTGGTAGTCACGCTAGACATCAAAGATGCTTTCTTGATGGCAGCACAACCAACCACAGAGAAAGCCTACATCCAGATTGATGAGCACATCTACAAACTGCTCAGATGCCTTCCAGGTCAAAGGACAGCCGCTTCACAATGGTTTGGCCTGTTTGCATCAGCATGCAAGGACTTTGGTATGCAGCAGGATTTGATGCAGCCCACGTTGATGTTGATAAAGGACCTCCTGTACCTCACCGTCCACGTGGATGATGTCTTCATGGTTGGACGAGAAGACAAGGTGAGGGAGTTGATTCAACACTTCAAGGAGGAGAAGAAGTGGAACGTGGAGGAAAAAAGGCCATTCCGACAAGGTGACAAATTCTTCTACCTGAAGAAGCAATTCAATCTGGGCATGAGGCACTGTGACATCAGGTGCGACAGGAAGCAATATGACAGCTTCGAGAAGGAGGTCGACATCTACTCCAGGTTCTACAGAAAGACCCCCTTGGATGCAAACTTCACGAAGAAAGATGATTCTGCAGAGTTGGAAGGAGCAGAGATCACCAAGTATAGAAGCATCGTGGGGCGGCTCATGTATATGGCTGGAGAACGACCGGATGCACAGTATTCCATTCAGTGCCTAGCACGCCACATGGCGAAGCTCACAAAGAATGCCCTGAAGAACGCCTGGCACACCTGCTCCTACTTGTTTGGAACAGGTGGATATGGAGTGAGGCTTGAGGAGAGAAAGAAAGGCCAGTCCGTGATGGACCTCAGAGAGACTGAAGAGGTGGAAGAAGCACCAAAACACCTGGTGGAAGCGGTCACCGATTCAGACCACGCAGGAAACAAAAACGACCGAAAGTCAACGACATCCACGCAGATCTTCATCGACGGCAACCTCATTGACAGCAAGGTCAGAAGCCAGAAAGCCATCGCTCTCTCATCAGGAGAAAGCGAATTCATGGCATTGGTGGCAGGCTGCTCAGAAGGCATGCTGGTGAGGCACCTGTGGAAGATGATAACAGGAGAAGAGTGCCAAATGAAAGCAAGGTCGGACAGCTCAGCAGCCAGAGGGATGACCCAGCGGCAAGGCATCGGCCGAGTCAGGCACAGGGACGCTTCAATGCTGTGGATACAGCAGAAAGAGCGGGAGAAAGTCCTGACAGTGGCAGCAATCCCAATAGACCTCAACAGCGCCGACATTGGCGCCAAGAACCTACCAAAGAAGAGGTTGAGAGGTCTGCAATACATGCTGCGCATGGTCGACGCTGTGGGTGACAGAGTGGGTGAGCAGGAGTTCCTGGAGATTGAGGAGCAGCACAAGATGAAACAAAAAATGAAGAAATTTGGGAAAAGCAAAGATCTACGGATCGGGCTTTTGATGCGGCTAGCCGCAATCAACAAAGTGGGAAGCACCCCAACTGAAGCGAAGGAGAATGAGGAGACCAGTTGGGTGTGGATGATGATGTGCACTTTGGCGTGCATTGGGGCCTTGAGCCTGACCAGATGGCTCTGGAACTACGTCCATGACTTCATAGATGGCACGAAGGCCTTCATCCGGGAGATCAAGAAGGCCATGGCATGGGTCAATTGGATTGACCTGAATTTGAAAGTGGAAAGGGTCGATCAAGAGACCCAAGTGTCAGTGCCAAACGCTCGACTTGAGCGTGAGCTTGAGCAAGCTGCGCACGAGCTCTTCTTGAGGGAGACATACATAGAAGAACTCGAGCAGGAGATCGAGAAGATGAAGGAAAGCCTGACCGAGTTCCTTCAAGAAAGAGAGCTGGCAGAGAAGCGAAGTTCGAGACTTGAAGAGCAGCTGCACAAGCTACGAATGACACCTTCAGGACGAGTTCTGCATTTTGCAGCAAGTTGCCCTTACTTCACGGCTGGGCAACCGATCAGGATTTGTACAGGGTGCTTAAGTGAAGGAGGAGTGACAGAATGCACTTCATGACCGTACAGTCACTTAAGCACGTAGGCAATGCTATGTACGATGGCCATTTAAGGCCCAAGCCGCATTAGCGAAAAGGTCTGCGCACGCGCTTTTCAGATATCCCAAATATGTCTACTCACGCATTCCGTTAAAGTAGATTGCTGATTACTTCATTGGCTGCCTACTTACAGACATCCTTGTCACCCAAGTAGAAATTGGACCATGCATTGCCCTGGCACACAAAGACATGCAGGATGAGGTTGAAGAAACGTGGAGGAGCAATTGAACTTTGGGATCGAACCAAGTCAACAATATGTAGAGCTCACATTGGCAAGGAGTCTTTCAGACTAGACAATTAGTTCTATGTGTCGCCTTTTTTGCAGGAACCTTCGCATCGCTCGTGGCGTCCCCAAAAGAGCAGATGCTCCGAAGCCTGTAGCGCAGAACATCGGAAACACTGATGCTGATGCTGCTCGGATGAGCAACGTGAGAGTCAGAATATCACAGCCAAACATGACAATACAAACAACTACCCACTCGTAACACTGGCATTCCAGGTGCAGGTAATGTTCAATCCAAAGATTGACTCAGTCCAAAATAGAATACGAAATCCAATATTCAGTCTTGTGGAGAGCAATGTGAGGTTTATGTGTTTAATGACTGTTCATGTTGTGCCTAAACACTGCAGAGGTTGCACGCATGCTGAAAGAGCGTGGTCGTTTGATTGATGCACCAGATGATGGCTTTGACTCAAACTTCTTGAGTCGTCGCTTGGCTTGAAGATGAGGGCCTTGGTTGAATGGTTTTTGCTTTGCCGTGATGTTTCTCCAAAGGGTTAACTGGCAAACTTCAGCTTCGAAGTCTGGATGGAGGCATTACTGCGAAGAAGACAGACGTTACCTACTGCGGTGTTGCAGCTTGGCATAGTCTTTTGCACTTTTTCCACCATCATTCCGGGCATGCTCAGGACAACCTTCAGTCTGCACGTCGTCCAGCTCGAAGGGTGGCTTGGTATGCAGTGAAAAGAACCCCGTGTGAGTGTGTGTGTGTGTGTGCGTGGATCTGATCTCACAGTACTGCAACGGGTGTGGAACATGCTTTCACACTGACGCTGGGTTTGTCATGCTGTTTCGCAAGAGGCGACAAAACCATTAAACTCCTTGCAACAGCGGATACTTAACCATCAAGCACCTTGCAACAGAGGATCCTGACTACCTCGCCAAAGCTTTTTTACTATAATCATCTATGAAGCACTGGAACAGTGCAGAAACACAAGAATACATGTCAACGGAGACTTGGCTTCTGATTTGCCTGCAGGTGATCAGAGACCCAGATGACGACATCCCAGAAGAGGCGTTGAACGTTGGATTTGGGATGTGCTGCCGATTTAACATCACAGAATTTGTCCTTGTGTGATCTCGTGTGTATATCGTTTGTACACCGTATGCTGCTGCTGCTGCTGCTGCTGCCGCTGCTGCTGCCGCTGCCGCTGCCGCTGCCGCTGCCGCTGCTGCTGCTCCTGCTGCTCCTGCTGCTCCTGCTGCTCCTGCTGCTCCTGCTACTCCTGCTACTCCTACTACTACTACTACTACTACTCAATAATCCAATCTGTGGATACCGATTTGTGCTGAGAGGGCATCAAGCTGTGGACAACAACTGGACGTCTTCGCACTGGAATACGGCAGCCCCCACAAAGGGCTTTGCCCCGGAGTAGCCTGGCTTGGCATTTTCCAAGTGGGAGTCGAGTATGTCTGGTTATCTTCACCGAACGTTGGTGTTTGAGGCTTCGTCCCTTTGCCGCCACAGCACTTGTGGGAGAGGGCGCCAGTTACTCGCTCTGAAGCTGCTTGGCTGGCACTCGCTGGCACTTTCTGCATGTACTGAATTTCTATTGATTGTGTTTTTGTTATATTGACAAGGCATTTTTCTGAAAGGGTCCAGACGAAAGATCAGGTCACAGAGATGAAGATCATTGCGGCTGCACAGCAGCCGCCGGTGACTGACTGGGCTCAGGACTGCACATATAATATATACTAAGTCTTTAAATCTCAAGAGGTTGTGAAGGATGCTAGCATGAAGCATCCTCCTTGCGCCCGCTAGTTGTGGACAGTGACATACTCAACTTTCCTGGAACTTTCCCCACTTCTTGAACCCCTAATATTCCTTCCCAGTCTTCGACAGACAGAGCTGCGCAGAGGATTGAAATTTTGTATTGAGAGTCGTCATTCGTTTCTTGAGCGATCAACTTTGCTCGGCCCATCATGTAAGGTCTAAATGTCCGAATGCCGTCAGAGGACCTGATCCTGGAATCTGCCGAAGCCAACAAGGCCATATGTCCATTGCAACCGAAACTGTGGCAAGTTGAAGCACATTCATCCGGTCTCGTCCACTCTGATAGAAAACGACATTCACTTCAATGTGTTTGCTTGCAAAGCCAGACAAAACCTGAAGGCACGGCGGCAAAAGTTGCCCGCGGTTCCAGCTACCCCTAGGTGGGTGAAGGGCATACGCTGTCACTGCTCCATACTTCATCGCCTATAGTCACTACAGTAGTCAGAACTTGACCCTCGCAGGTCTGGAAGTAGCCTGACGACCTCGGCGCCTTGGCATTCCGAGCAAGATCAGCAGATAGATCAGAAAGTTCAAACACGTGCTAAGGAATTTTGTTTTTTTTAGTCTTGGCAATGTGACTTTGTTTAAAACTTGCTTCATTCCCTGTAAGACAATGAAGAGTGTTTCAAGAGGACAAGGTTCTGCATTGTTTAGACATGCGCAGGTGCTTTGCCAGTGGAACCTGTGTTCAACAATGGTCAACTAGGTTAAAAACACAGTACATCAACGACAACAGAGCGATAAGATCCAGGACCTAAAGGTTCTCCGCCTGGAACGTGAATTGTGCAGAAAAAGAATGCTCCAATGTCCGCCTGACATGGAATGTTGCTAACGCCTGCCACAACATACATGGCAGAACTGGCTCATCATCGCGCTTCAGAAAGACAAGGCAACGCCATGCATGAAACACTGCAAAACGAGGAAACAACCTCCGATAGAGTGTTGCGAAAAACCGCAGAAAAGCACAAAATACGGACCTAGTTTGATACCTAATTTGATCAGATTTGCCATGTTCCAAGGAATCTGCTTCTTCAGCAGCTCAGTTCTCCAGAGTGAGCTTTGCTCTCCCAAAAGGCAGCAACTTTTGAGACGGTCAGGAGCGCTGACGGGGGACACAACCAGTGATGGTCCCAGCACGCTGAGGCTGTTTATGCAAGGATGTTTAAGGTGTCCAATGTGTCCAGACCCATTGTTGTTTTTTTTTTTTTTTTCGCAACTTGTTCTGTGCTTAATCATGCGATCAGGCCAATAGTTCATAACTGTCGCAAGCTGGTACTGGCGAAGCCACACCATGAAAAATCCATTGCTTCAGGTTGCACCGAGCAAGAAGAACTGATAGTCATAGTATGTCAAAGTATCATCCTCGGCATTGGTGCAACCTGGAATGGAGTGTGTATAAAGGACACGTACTGCTGAAACCTGGCAGTCAAGATCCGGAATCTTGTGAAGTGAAGGGGTCAAAGGCAGAAGCGGGCGATATCTAGAGGGTAGAGTTCACAAGAGTATTGCAGTGTTTGACAAGCTTCCGGGATCAGATAACGAAGCGATGGCGAAATAAACGAAAGGCGGGTTTGTCAGATGTCAGACCCCAGAATACAGGAGTCTTGCAAGCACACTGTTGGGTAAGTGGCACAAAGTGACATAAACTCAGCGAAACTCAAGTTGATCACTTGCGAAGTAGGTTGTACAGCAGCTTTGCAGCTCAAGCTCGCTCGTGATTGCAGGAAGGCAAGGCAAGATGGCAGGCTGGACGTGTTGACTGTGACGTCCAAAAGCCCACCTAGCAGAGCCATAGCAACCAAGCTGTATGTTATCACGGCCTTAGTTGGCGGATCCAAGGCAGGTAGCAATCAACAATAACATCCCTAGCGCGGATATTGGCTAATTGTATAATGAACTACTCGTGCCACCAGCTGGCAAAGAGGGTGGTTCAGAGGTAGACGTGGCTTTCCTGTGGCTAGTGGGGGCTAGTTGATGTGAAGGGGTTGTGGGGTTCGTCCATTGGAGCTAGGTCAACAACAATCACGCAGTGTCACGGTTTCGCCAGTTTGGCTGCTGGCACTTCTCTCCGCGGCGGCTGCCGAACCTTCTTTGCGAAGCAATCGGACTTTTGGCGCCATGTCGAAGGATTTCGGGCTCAAATGGAGTGTCAGTGTTGTATGTGCTTGTGCACTGGAAAAAGGATGTTTGAGAAATCACGAGCATGACATGCATGTTTGACTTGGACATGAGCAAGGGCAGGTTTCATCCGCAGGCGCCTCAGCCAAACTCGCTACGCTTCGCTCCAGTGTGGAAAGCTTGCTTCGCCCGCGCAGCCATTCGGTCGGGCGTTGACAGTGGCACCGGAGCCCTTTGGTTCGTTGCTTGGGACCTTGACGCTGGCCGCTCCGCTCGCTTGCTTGGTTTTGCTTGGTTCCTTTTTTGCGCGACTTGCTCTTCGCCCCTGAAGAGGAGATCGGTGATCCCTGCGGGCCCCCCGGCTTCGATTCGGAAGGTTGAGAGTAAGCAGGGCTTCATTTGGCTGGTTGTGGCCTCCTTTCATTTGGGCAAGCGCCTGGACGGGAGAACAGCTGGTTGAAGGAAGTTGGAATTTACACCTTTTTGCTGCTTCACAAGTCTCGAAGAGACGCATCGAAGCTGCGAGGCATGGCTGACGAGAAGGATTCAAATGCTGGAGCTTGGAGCCGAGTCCCAACATGGGACGGATCACCCCAGACCTGGAGAAGCTTCAGGAAAGACATAATGTCTTGGTGGTTGGCCGGACTTGACATCCAATCCACCAAAAAGTACAATCTAGCTGCAAGATGGCTCTTGCAGCAGTCCGGAGTGGTTCGACAGAGAGGAGAAGAATTTGATCCAGCAGAGCTGGAATACCAGAAGGAGGTCAAGATGCCCAATGCTGAGACCGGCGACGACGAGATCGTGACCCCAGAAGATCCCTTGAGCGGCATCAATCGCCTTCTTCGAGCACTTGAGGAGATGACAGGTCGCACCTCGCTCGATAAGCGAGGAGAGCTCCGGAACGTCTTCTACCTGGAGCTGAAAAGAAGGTCAGGTGAGCGGATCTCAGAATTCGCCACGAGGTTTCGAGGGCTCATCGCCGAGATGAAGTCGGAGGGTGGGGAGGTGGCAAAGCTGGCTATGACTAGACTGCAATTCTCTCGTGGTCTTCGCAAAGCAGAACTGGCAAGATCTCGCTCGACTACCATGGAGGCAGCACCAACTCCAGGGTCCATTTGCTACTTCTATCGCCCTCTCCGGTACAACAACAAGATGTCTCAGAGCCAGAAGAAGCTCACCTTAAAGAGATGGCATGGTCCTGCGATGATGGTGGCTATGGATGGCCACGCCTCCGTGTTCCTCTCCTACAAGGGACAACTCACAAAGTGTGCTCTTGAACATGTCCGCCTGGCCTCAACTATGGAGCAGATAGCTTCCGGTGCTTGGTCGGAAGCCATCAAGGAGGCGGTGGACGCAGCTCGACATGAGCAAGCCCTGAGGAATCCTCAGAGTGATGGCAATCAAGGGTGGCAAGCACCTCAGCAGCCGGTCCTACCAGAGACCCCTGTGGCAGCTGGAAATCCTTCGACACCCGCATTTCTCCCTCCGTCCAATGCGACAATGAATGCTGATGACAACCAGTTGGAAGGCAGAGATCTACCTCCTGTACAACCTCAAGAGCTTTGGCAGATGATGGTTCCCTCCAATGCTCACGCTTCTTCTCAGGTAGACTCCTCATTGCCGTCGAGACGGGCTAGTGATTTTTCAGATACGCCCTTTCCTCAAGCTACCAGACTGGCTATGGGAAGACGACCTTCTGGACTGCCTTTGACCTCAGTTTGTGAGAGGGTCCGAGAAATTGAAGGAAGCTTCAAACGTCCAGCAGAGCTGGATGCTGAAGCTCTTCGCGAACAAGGCCATGAACAAGGAACTCCTCGAGCAGAGGCTAGCAGTTCGATGCCCGCTGAAGTGGATGAGGCCCTGGTGACTGAGGCAGTTGACGTCATCCAGACGGAGCTGAAGAAGGAGAATCTCCACCTACAGGCTGAGCTGGACAAGAAGTCTCCACTAGATGCTGAAGTACCAGATCATGGCACCTGGCATGGGAAGTGGTCCCTGCCGTCAAGATCGGAATGGTTGGCCCATCAGAAACTGGGTCTGAGCTGGCCCAATGGAAGTCAGCCCGATCATGAAGTCCAAGCAGTACAAGCAAACCGCAAGGAGTTTCGCTGGAAATCAATGACCGGTGAGGAGAAGAAGGCCTTCGCGGAAGCTGCTGCGCAAGCCTGGTCGGTATGGGAGGAGAATGCCGCAATCGAAGTCTTGGCGCCAGAGGAATCAGAGCGTGTGAGAAGGCGGCTCCTGGCCAACAAAGAAGGCAGCAAGATTTTGACTCCAAGGTATGTTTTCACCGACCGGCATGAAGGACTTCGAACAGCTCTCAACCCCTTGCCGCTCAAGGCCAGAGCTGGAGTGATCGCGCCGGGCTACAAGGACATCTTCTCCTACAACCTCAGGAAAGACGCCCCTACAGGATCTCGGGTGTCTCAACACTTGCTCTTCACATTCACAGCCAGTAACAGCACCTCCACAACGCCGCAGGAGTTGAAATGGAAGATCATGTCCGCCGATGGGAAGTCTGCCTTTTTGAAGGGAGATGCCTATGTGGATGGACAACGGGAGCTCTTTCTGGAGAATGTGAAGGGAGAAGAACCCAAATTGCCGTTTGGGAGCTGCTTGGCAAAGATTCGCAAGGGAGTGTTTGGACTCTCGGATGCGCCTCGCCAATGGTACTTGCGTCTCAACAAGTCCTTGCAAGCAGCAGGATGGGAGAGAACAGTTTTTGACTTTGCATGCTGGCTCAAATGGTCAGATGACCGCAAGAAGCTTCGTGGCATCATCATCTCCCACGTTGATGACTTGTTGCTGGGTGGTGACACTACCGCCCAAGAGAGCCTCTTGACCATTGGGAAGGAGCTGGGCTTCGGGAGCGTGGAGTATGATGATTTTGTTTACTGCGGGAAGAGGATCCAAATGAAGCCTGATGGCTCCATCACAAGGCCTACCACGACAACCTCTCGCCCGTGGAGATTCCTTTGAGCAGGAGGAAGACACCCGAAGCGGAGCTCAGTGAAAGTGAGCGCAGACAACTCAGGGCCGTGTTGGGTTCCCTACAGTGGCTGGTCGCACAGGTCCGTTTCGATCAAGGCTACAGTCTCAGTACTCTTCAAGGTGAAAAGCCTGTGATTGGGACACTTCAGAAAGCAAACCAGTTGGTGAAGGAGTTCAAGCGGCGCCCCGATTTTTCTTTGGTGTTTCAGGCTTTGGATTTGTCGAAAGCTGGCATCATGGTGGTCTCCGACTCCTCTCTGGGTAACGCGCTTCGAGAAGGAGGATGTGAAGGCGATGTGCTGGAGAAACTTTACAGCCAGTCAGCCTACTTCGTGATCATTGGTGACCACAACCTGATGAATGGCCGGGAAGGCTGTTTCAATGTTGTGGATGCCCGATCGCACAGACTTCCAAGGGTCTGCAGATCGACTTATGGAGCTGAGCTCATGGGCGTTGAAGAGGGCATGGATATGGGCATCTTCTGCCGCGGCGGCCTGGCCACCTTTCTTGGCCTCCCGACTGGCCGACGAGATTCCCTCAAGGTGATGGAGGAAATCCCCATGGTCTCCGTCACGGACGCCAAGGACACGTATGACCGCGGGAACTCCGACTGTCCTACGTATGGAGCTCAGAAGTCCATGGCCTTTGCCGTAGCATGGGTGAGACAGACCCTCAATGGCCACAACAGCAGCCTGAAATGGACGGCGACGGCCAATATGTGGGTGGATGCCGGGACAAAGCTGATGCCTACCGACCACATGCAGGACATCTTGTCCAAAGGCAAGTGGAGCTATGTCTATCACCAGGACTACGTCAAGCAAAGTCCCAAGAAGAAAACGATCGGAAAGATCGAAATGGATGAGCTGCCTGGTGAACATTTGGATGAGCGGTCGCAATTGTTTCAATTCATTTTGAAGCTGAGTAGCCTCCCCGGCTGGCATGAAAGGCCTGACATGGCGGTGCACGTGGCCTATGGGGCCAAATCCTTCCGGGTGCCAGATGGCCGTTTTGGGGCCAACAAGTATCCAGTGCGGTCCACCTTCGGAAAATTTGATTTGAAGGATGGCCGAAGTGTATGGAGGCAACTTGAGAGGGGTGCGAACCTCTCCGACCTGGCGAATCGTCAGGGCCTGTTGCCGAAGCCTGCTGGATGTTTGATTTCCTTGTTCATGTCTCAAGCAAAGAAGAAGATAGATCAGCTGAGAAATCACGAGCATGACATGCATGTTTTACTTGGACATGAGCAAGGGCAGGTTTCATCCGCAGGCGCCTCAGCCAAACTCGCTACGCTTCGCTCCAGTGTGGAAAGCTTGCTTCGCCCGCGCAGCCATTCGGTCGGGCGTTGACAATGTTAAAAATGAAAAGGCGATGTCTTGGCAAGCTGAAGCTGTAAAGCATCTCCAAGCTAATCAACCCATTAGGGTCAATTAGGGTCACTTACAGATTGACCCCGATGTCCCACTTCCAAGGAAAGTGCATATTCATTCGACAGGTGACAGGACATAAATCTACGAAAATTCATGCAAGGAGCTGCTCTGAATGGTTGACAGTGTCAAACTGCAGACAGGGTATGCCACACCATGTGTGGCCTTCCCGTGGCTAATACCTCCAATAACACCACCAGCGAGCGCTGTTGCTCAAGTCCAGGAGGCCCCAGTCCACTTGGCTTGGACCCACATGCCTAACTTTTGCTTGTCCGCGGACGCCAACCAGCTGGAAAACGGTGTCAAGGCGCAACACACTAGAACAGTAGGACTGGTCACTGGCCGGATTTTAGCAGATCAGCCACCATCCTCAACAAATGGTATTGATGTTGTTTGCCTGGTTTGATTCTGCATCCATAGCTCCTCTAGGCAAGTTGCAAGATTGTGGAGTGGATCATATGAAAGCTTTCTTGCGAAATTCTGATAGTGATTGTCATTTGGATTGCCAGGATTGTTGCGATTGCTGCGGTGGTGTCCCAACCGGATAACCGATAACTGCCTTCAGGCTCCCAATTCAAGGGCTATGTTCCAGTCCAGTGCAGGTCCACCTCTGGGAATGTGACAACACCTGGCAGAGCAAAGGGCAAAACTTTGTGGTGGATGCCGAAAATCGATTTCGCATGCATGCGAACACCGACTATTGCCTTGTGGTTGATGGAGATCACTTTGTCAATGGAGCCAAGATCCAACTTTGGAAGTGCAACTCGGACATGTAGGAACCAAGTAGGAGAATCAAACCAATGTTTGGTCAGACTGGCCGCCAACCACGCAGATTCCTTTTAAAGATCTTGTCTGGGACTAGGGCCTTGGGTGAGATATGGTCAACAACAAAGACCTACCAGAAAAACTTAGCTGTTTTACAATTGATTCTTGCTTTTGGGATTGATCTTCTGGATTGATTTGCCCGGCGCTTTAAGTTGCGCTTTGATAGCATTTTGGGAATGAGATTCCGACAGAAGTGTAAACCCACTTTACATAAACATGTCGCTTGTTGCTAAGTTACCAATTCATTGTTGCGTTCTGCACCACAGGAAAAGAGTCCGAAAGGAATCATTTCTTGGTCAGGCAGCATACAAAAAGCTTTCGGACAAAAAAAGAATCTCCTTCGGCGCTTTTGTTGCTCTCCAAGACTTGACTCTTCTCCAAATGTCTTTGAGGCAATGAGAAGAACCCCAACCAACGGCGGCTTGGATATGTTGAGAAAGAACTTAACTATATATGTTTTTTTGGTCTTGAAACGACCCCCACAGCACAGGAAAGCTCCACGAAGCTGTTGGCAGGTTAGTGGCGTTAGTGAGCTGATAGCATGACTCAGCATGACCCCTTGTTTCTGCCATTTTCATCCCTTCCCTGCACCTGCCTGGTAGATAGGATGACAAAGTCGACAAGCATTTTAACAGTTCAAGCTGCAGCTGAAACAGATGATGATGAAATGTAATGGTAAACATTGTGCACAACTCAGGTGGTACTCCCAAATGACAGGTCAGATCAGTAGCTCAAGCGAGCCCTCAATGTGCTTGGTCATTGATGGCTGCGCGGCGAAAAGAATTGAGAAGACTGGAGAATAGCATGCACGTGTTGTGGCTCCAAGCTTTGGCAGAGGTACCCTTTCACCGCCTAGTTTCGCTACAGTCACAGTGTTGTTACAGTTATGCATCGTTGGTGAGCTCGTTTTTGTGAACCCTTTCAGTGTTTTGAGGCCTTGGTGTTTGAAAAATAGGTGAATTACCTGTGTTTTAGGAAGACAAACAGCATTTTACACTGCAAATCTCAGTATTTCTACCCTGTTTCCGTGGTTGTTTGTTTCGACGGCCGAAGTAGTTGCGCGAAAGAGGGGTCCCAAACACTCCAAACACTCCAAATCTCTGTGCGGCGGTGGTTGCCGAACACCACACAAACGAAACAACAAAACCAAATACCAAATCCTCGAAACATCCGATAACGTTATCCTCTCAGCAAAAAAATGCAGTGGATAAGACATGATAAGATACAATGTCGGAAACGAACAAATACCTTGTCAATACACGTCATGAACAGACATGAACGATCACATGTAGCAAAGTGATATGTGTTTAGAAGAGGTGCTATATATTCTTTGTTGTGAGAATAGCCTGAGAATCTTTGACGAAATCATTTGACGTTCATGTGTTGCTTTCACATTTGGAGCCAGTGTTAGGAAAGCCAGTCAATGGACTGAAAGGAGTATGGGGAAGTGAACAGAACATCTTGGAGCTCTCCAGATTGATCTTTTTGGGGAAGACTGTAGCAGAAGAATGGGCTCAAATTCTTGGTGCAAAGGCAACAAACATGATTGGTTGCAGGGACCACTTCCACATTTGCAAGCACTTTCAATTGAAGGGCCTCCTAGAGGACAAATATTATATATGCGTGTTTGGTGGCCAACTTATGTAGTGGATCTCTCAGTTTGTCATACAGAAGAGGTTAGTAGCACTACCTGCAACAAGTAAGAATCCCCTGTTACTTGTACCCGAAGCTGCCGCGAGACATAGCTTGCAAATGCTTGCAATCAAGTGTCAGCCAAGAACAGGTTCACCCAACTGCATGATGGCAAGCTTCAACTACAGCGCCACACCGTCTAGAGCTCTTGTCCTTCAATTGTTTCATCAGTGACATTTGTGATAAAGCATCAAAACGCGTCCGATGCCTACCACCCAAACTGAAAGAAAAGTGCCAAAGTGGTGAAGGTGGTGAAGGCATTGATCAGGCATGGGAGGGCAAGGCGGAATTGGGCATGCCAAGGAAACAACGCCTTCAATGGTGCCAAGATCCAGATGTGGTCATGCGAAGGGAATTCACAGCTGAAGGCGGGAGGGCGGGCTCCCTTCCAAGTCACACAACCCAAAGCAGAGGACTGACCGACTATACTCAAGCAGGTGCTCCAAGCATCTCCAACCGTAGCTTCCACGACAAAACATACTGTTTGAGGAGAAGACCTTCGAGCGCAAACAAGTGCAGTTTGAATTGCACATTCATGAACTTTAGGTTGCATAAGAATTTGCCAAGTCTCCATCAGTCAGGAGTGGATGAGGCTCGTGCTTGGCCCCGGTGCGAAAGTCTTCGGGGTTCCCAATGAGGATGGCGCGTGCGAGGCCACGTGATGAACAGACAGACAGGCAGGCAGCCAGGCAGACAGGCAGCCAGGCGGCCAGGCAGCCGGACAGCCAGACAGACAGAGAGAGAGAGAGAGACGAAAAGCCAAAGAAACACCAGCTCCAGGTTTTCAGAGTACAATGTACTAGTAGGTCAGCACTTCTTCTGGTCTTTGGGGGGCTTTGCATGGACTTCTGCAGGGCGGGAAGTTGTGAAGCTCTGTTGGTATTTTCTGGGGCAAGGAAGATTGTCAGTTTATTTTAGTTAGTGCAAATTGAATATTGCACGGAAACAGTGCTTTTGAACAAGTGGTATTTACCAGGAGTTTACAAGACCTCCCCAAACCGTAATTCTGCAGATGCGTACAGCCACAAAAGCGTGGGAGTACAGGGGTTGCCCGCTTTCCCTGCGAGGCTCCCTTTGAGGCCGTGGATAGTTCACTGAAAGCGTGTGTAGACGCCGCTGAAGCAATGAGGCAGGGCAAATGATACAGAAACAGAGGAGAGAGAGAGAGAGATGGCCTTTGACTCAATTTTATCCCTTCGAGGAATCCGCCCAACGCTCAGATATCAGACAGTAGTGCCTTTTGTGCATTCCCATCCACCAATTTGCCAAACGTCGTGGTTGAGCCCAAGGTTCTCGTGCTGGTTGTTGTGGATTCCCAGGTGTAGTGCTACAAACTTTGTACATTTTTGTACAGCCCCTCAGTTGTTCACAAATCTGCAGGATGAATGCGACCGAAGCAGTAAGATTATTGTTTCACTTAAACCGCTCCAAAGTCTTCATAGTGCTTACAGTGCAATGTATCAAACCACCCCTCTGCCACAAGAAGGAAAGTGCCAAGAGTGGATATGTCAAGTGAAGCCAAGTAGGACGATTCTCAAAGCTGCGAAGCGTTTCAGGCCAGGCAGTGGCTGCTATTCCAGTACCTTGGCAAACTCAGTTTTGAGCGGAATCGAACAAAAAGGAATTCATCCTCACACTTTCTCCAATGGCTTCAGCATGCTTCAGCCACCATTTATTCGGCTGCTCCGATAAATTCGAGCCTGTAGGCCAACATCACATGAGCTGTAAGTTGCCTGGTCCTCTCCCAACAGTCATTAGTGGAACCTTGACTTTTTGACCACAAAGGGTCAAACAAAGGATTTGGAAACTCAATCGAGTATGACTCACGCCTCGCTTCGGTTTGGAAACCCTGAGGTCAGTGGGAAAGCGTGGTCACGACTGATTACCAGCCCACTTGGCCCAGAGGCGGGCACTGAGCAAGAGTTTGTTCAACTTCCAAGTCACTGACATCCTCTTAAAATGGACATTGTTGGGATATGTTGCGATCCTCACTGACATCGTGTGGGTCCACACGAAATCGCCTAAGTTCACAATTGTGGAGCCTGGTTCACAAATTCCTGGAATCACAAAACAAGCCACAAGGAATTGCAAGTGGACGGAATTCATTAAACCTCAAGAAAATTGTGAAGAAAAGAGAGTGAATGTGACAAAGTGGTAACGACTCGTTAATGGCATTAGGCGATTCAACACGATTCGATTTGTACGAATCTTGGGGCGTTTTTGTTTTTGTGCCTTTGCTTTGGAGGCTGCTACTTCTACGCAGCCTGCCAGGGCGGGTGTGGGTTGTACTTTAATCCATCTGGACAGGGAAAGAGCTGTCCCAGCCAGGGGGATTGCATGAGCATTTCTGTTATTTGCCAGCTCCAGCAGTGAGCGTTTTTTTTGGGCTTTGCCGGAGAGCGAGTTGCTCCAAGGCTTATAACGCCGTTTTGACTTTGTTTCGCACAGCTGACTTTGGATCCCAGCTCTTGGTTGATCCCTTAGACGAAATGGTCCTATTGGATCCTTCCTGTCCAGCAAGCAAACAAGGCCACAATAGGCCACATTGGTTCCTAGACCCAAGTGACCCCAAATGACCTAAATATTGTTTTCGACATTGAAACCATTTGAACCCGTCAATCAGTTTTGAGATCATCCAAGTTCTCGTGCGAGGTCACGAGATGTCGCTGTACAGAGTAGACGGTTGGGATTTGCCTTCAAGATCCTTCAAGTAAAGAAGAGTGACGTGTCAGAGTAGAGTGAAGACTGGGAAAGCAGAAAAAGTGTTCTGTGAGTTCTTGAACAGTCTCAGGCTAGCGCTACACTGTGAAGATAGTGATCGCAGGGCCTTTTTTCTTGGAACATGCCACTTTAGCATACTTTAGCCATTTCAAGAGGATTGCCGTCACGGTACCGGAGTGAAGTCTGAAGCTTAAAGCTGGACTACGAGCTTCTCAAACGGATTATCAAAATTTATCAAACAGGGGTGGTTCGATGTGGTTCGGGTCATTCTGGATTGGAACTGTTTGCCCGTGGGGAGGCTTCTGCGCCCTTGTCATGGAGAAGTTTCATTTCATGATCGTGGGCATCCCACTGTCCCCTTTGCACAGTATTGTTTCGATCGGGCAGGCGCACAGCACAAGTGCGCCAGAAACTGTGAAAGTGATATATACCCTGCTGCAAAACGGTATGTGCTAAGCCAAATGAGCGCTCAAATGAGCCAAATGCGTAATCTGGGACTTATATATGTTGTGTTTCGACTGCTTAAGTTGCAAGTCCA